CTTACAAAGATTAAAAATGATTACAGAACTTACTAAAAAAATGATTACAAATGAATTTGTTATAATATAAAATTAAAGATTAACTTATCAATTGATCAATAGTTTAGAGATAATTTATATAATTTTTTTAAAAAAATCCATTTTAAAACATTACAAATTTTAATAGATTAAATTAGAGACCGCTTTTAAGTTTTAAGTAGGTTCTCAAAATTTCTTCTTTAACTAAAATTTAATAAATTTATCTCATATTTGATGATAAAAGTTTTTCACTTTTATGCAAATCTAAAGTATTAATTATCTTAAAATATGGATAAATATGGACCCTAACCCATGACTTGTGTAGTTATCGTGGATACTTTACTCACATCACTAAGATTCAACTTCCTTGTATTATTATTAGACTAAATATTTTGAACATTTGTTTTAATGATAGCAAATTTAAAATTTTTTTGCTTTAAGACGTGAGAATTCTTCACTTATCAATAATCTAGAATTTCTTTCTATTTTTCTTTTCCTTTCCTATTTATTTTTTAATAAGGTGACAAGATTTACAATAAAAATAACCCCTCTCCTTTCCCATACCCTCCCCTCCCTTACCAAACTCTCCTCACCATATCTCACAATTCAAACTTAAAAAACTTAAGCGCATCTTTAAAAGTGCAATGTATGATCTCTCTATTCAACAAATTACCCTTTAAGCATAATTTATAATTTCACCCGAAGCTAATAAGGCGGGTAAGTAGGAATAGCAATGCGTTGTGTAAGGGAAAGAGATTTTTACTGCACTTGACCGTCACATACTAAAGGATTATAATTTCTAAGGCCCTCCATTTCTATCTAGACAAACTCTGCTCCTGGCTCTTACTTCTTAGGCTTAAAAGAAACTTTGCATAATTTTCAAGTTGAGCATGGCTTCGGCTCTCCCAATGATGGGTTTGGCCATACCCAAATTTGTAAATATTGACCCTAGTCATGTTGATGCTTGTACTGGGTTCATGTAGGGAGGATGAAAGCAAAACCATAAAAGGAGTGATTCTCATAAGTTGTGAAAGTCAGTTGTTTTAAACCGGCTACCAAAAACTTGGCAGTTGCAAACCCTACTAAGCAGAACAGATATTGTCAGGTTTCTCAAAGGAAATTAACATATAAAGATGGCAGAGATATGCTCATCAAACGCTAAGGGCTCACATGCATGACAGTACATCAGAAACAAAGAGAAAATGGTGAAGTAGATTTCAAGAGTTCCCATTAGAAATCATACTAAGTGAACATAAACAGCATCTAAAGATTAACTTCAACTCTCAACAATCAGTAGTCACAACAAAAATTGCTTATTCTTGGGGCCTTTGCTTGTCATACTCACCTGCCAAAGGTTCCTTTTGCTGTCTCTCGCTCCATTACTACCACAGAGACTAAGATTGTGCAGGTGGAATGGTATCGTTCACATTACAGTCCATGCTACTGGTGTTGACATCAATGGGAGAACTGAAAACTTGGGGCTCAACCATCCTAGCAAGAGTAGGGTCATTTGCAACAGGCTTGGGTTCAGAAGAATCAGAAGGAATATGCTCTGGCTCTGCTCCAAAGATCATCAGCGGTAGGCTAGTCACTGGCGCTGAATAAGTGCCAGCCTCAATGGTAGGGACAGCATCAGTTAAAGGGATTCCATTGATATGGGATGTGTCAGCTCCACCTAAAACCTTCTTAGTAAGCTCCAGGTGGGTATCTTGGAATGTGCCTTGTCTTGGAGAAGACTGCTTTTCCTCCATTAACATATCAAGTCCAGTTGATGAACAAACCTCAGATTCGGGTTTAGTAAATAAAGGAATTTGGTTGAGCTCAAAGTTTGAGCTTATTACATCTGAATTTAGGTCAGAACTGAGACTCTGGCGCTCAACTTGAGGCTGATGATTAAAGGCTTCACTGCCCAGCAAGTTATCATTATATGGAATAGATGGCAACCCCAATTCTTTAGGTAACTCCACATCTATATTAGGTCCTTTTTCCAGTTTGAAGGTTTCAAATCCTTGCAGTACCTGATTCTGTTTGATACTCACATCCTTCTCCAATGAAGATTCTAATTTTTTTTGTCCCAAAACATTTTCTCCCAAGAAAAGACCTGTGTCAAATCCTTGCATTACTTGATCTTGTCCAACGGCCCTATCCTTCTCCAATGATGATTCCATAGATTTTTGTTCCAAGACCTTTTCTCCCAGGGAAAGACCTGTGTCAATTACTGGTGGTACCTGATCCTGTTCAACAGCCTTATCCTTTTCAAGTGCTGATTCTACAGTTTTTTGTTCCATGGCCTTTTCTCCCAGGGAAAAACCTGTTGCCTGATCCTCTCCAATAGCCTTATCCTTCTCCAATGCAGATTGTGTATTTTTTTGTTCCAACACCTTCTCTCCCAGAGAAAGACCTGTGTCATTTATTGGCAAGTTCCTTGCAGGGAGTATCTTAACAGCAGCAGATTGCTTCTCACCTGCAACTGCAGCAACTGAGATGCCAGAAAGAAGCTCAGCTGGTTGAACTTGGCCTGAAAGCTTAGCTGAATCATTTTTAAACTCAACGGGTTTCTCCAACAGGGGACCAGCAGTGTGGAGCTGGCTTTCAGGGTTTAGAGATGGGATTGGAATCTCTTTTCTATGGTACATCTTAGCATGTGGAGCCACATCATTTGCAGCTGTAATTGGAGTAAATTGGCCAGGTAGAAATACAACACCTCTCAGAAAAGTATCAGTATCAGCAACCTTAACGTTAAGAAGATAGCCAGCATCAAACAAACCATCAATGACACCAGAAACCACCTGACCTACCATGTCATCATTAGGAGCATTACTTGTACTCACACTCTGCTTGGTTTTCTTTGCACTGTCTAATGCAGCCATTGCAGGTATGTTGTTGTTCTCCTCTTGAACCAGAGTCTCATCCTTGCGAGGACGACCACGTCTTCGCTTTGTTGGGGGCTCTGCTGGAGAAGAAGAACTGGGCCCTTGAGTCTGGTGGTTCATACTGTAGATTTTGATGCAAAGCTCCCACCGCCTTTTTCTCTTTGATTTTCTATTGCACAAGTTATGCTGACAAAAGAAGAATAAAAATAGTTATTGCAATGAACCATAAATGAACCATAACTAATGATGATGTTCTGTTACCTGCATTATCTTGCTACTATTGTCATAAAGGATTTTTCTAGGGCACAGGTTAAGGGCACTTTTTTGTAATAAATTTATAAAGGAAAATGTAAAAGTAAACATTAATTTTAGAGTCAATACCACGTGGATAAATTTAATTCGACAGTTGATAAATTAAATGTTACCTTTTATTTTTTCAAGACTCTTAACCTATGCCCTAAGGGCACAAGTTAGAAAAACCCTTATTGTAAATTACGTCCAAAACAATCAATCCCTCCCAAACAATATAGTTAAGAATTCTTTCAGAGTAGAACTCAATTGAGGTCCAAAAACTTTAACTTTCATATGTGGACTTGACTTCCTACATTGTGACTTAAAGAGCATCTAAATTGTTTTTATCTATCCTAGTGTCTCACAGTTTCAGTATGTTCACCAGGAAGTGTAGAGTGTAAATCAAAATATTTTTCCATCTTAAACTGAGAATCAAATGAATCTTGTATTAAGGTGGCTCACCTAATTCAATGCTATAAAACCAAATTTAAGAAATAGACAGAAACAGGAATGAAGTTAAAATTATAATCAACAAAATTTATTAGTCAAAAACTAACAAAATGTATTAGTCAAAAAATAAAGGAAGACTTAGAACCTAAAATTACAAAGCCTCGCAGCCAGCTACCGCAACAAACAAAAAATTGTTCTCTTTATTAATCTATCATCGATCTCCTAGACTTCACTGACATCAAATATGACATCTAGGATAGAAGTACTTAAGTAAATACATTCATTATTCCATTTCAGTAAGATATAAGGGAAGATTAAACAAGTTATCAAATATTCATGAACAAAGCAGGTCTATTAGTTAAGCCAGCATGATCTCTTCTGAAAAGTAAAGCCAAGCTCTTGCAACTAGCTCACATAGAAATCATGCAATGGTGTCTGTATGCATGTTTGGGGGTGGGGCCATAATTTTGACATTATTCAATACCCTATACAGTTTTTTGCAATATGAAAGGGTCATAAAAAAGCCAGAATACTAGCAAAAAATTCAAAAAAGTTAAATTGCAATAAGAAAACAGAAAAGGAGAATCTAATTGAAAGAAAATAAAGGACATAAATTGGAACAAAATTTTCATTACTAGTTCAAGTCAAGGGAAAATTGGGGAAAGAAATAATGTATCAATGTTGATCAATATACTACAGTTGTCCAAACACAAATATAATGAAATGTCACCAAAATTAGCAAATGATAAAGAAACAAGAAAATAAAGGAAGGCAGAAAAAGAAATTTTCAATTAAATGTTGGCTAGTATTTGCAAAGAAATCAAAGTCCAAATTCTCATGTAAAATCGAAAGACAGTAGATGGAAAAAACTAATATCTGCAATTCATTTCATACCAATTAAATAAAACCATCAGGTAGGAAAACAATAAAGGGCATAAATCTAACTTAATACTCTGAATAAAAAGAACAATGTTTTGCATGCAATTATTTTGACAAAATTACAATAAGATCTGTGAAGATATAGATTCTTAAGATCCACTTTTGACTGATACAAAATTTAACAGACCTTTTCTTTTCATGACCATACAGAAATCTAGAACGACCTTAAAAGGATGCCACAAATTGGATCCAGAACCTTTGATTATGATTAAAGATCATAATCGAAGGCCAAAGGTTGCTGCAGATTTTACTTAATCAATGGCTACCAAGCCATTGCTTGCTTATAGTTATACCCCTAGCCTTACATGCTGGCGATGCTGCTAAGCTAATCAAACTCCTAATTGATGTTTGATCCCATCAATTATCACCACGAGCGGCAGCGGAGTGAACAAGAAGAAAGTCAAAAGCAAGGTTTTTGTTACCCTTGCTGGATGCATTTAAATAGGGTATCTACTTAACAAAGTGCCCATCAAACGGTTGTAATTAACAACTTAACCACAGAATATCCAGAAAGATCAAGTCAGCTTAAGTCACAGCCTGTATGCACTTAGCAAGAAAAAACGCTTAGGCCCACAAATGTCCAAGCGTACATCTTCTAAAGCTCATTCTAGCTTGGTTCTTGTGAACTTTTGAAATGAACATCAAGCCATCATTTTAGTCCAATCCTAATTTGCAAATCTCGATTTCTCTTTGTTTGAGGTAAATCTTTAGTATATTGTGCATATGACATATTGACAAAAATGAAAAGGTCCACCAATGTTCCAATCTGGTACTATCATCAACAGAGCAACTATTCTTCTGCTTGAGAAGGAAAGGGGGGGGGGGGGGGGCTACACCAGACCCAACAATAACTTCATTAATTAACAATGAATACTCTCAGTTAAATAAGTAGAAAAAGAATGAAATGAAAGTGAATTAATTTTAGTTCTTTTCTGCTTGACTCTTAAATATCTTAACATTTGGATGCTGCTAATCTTTGCATACCCATCACTGAAGCATCCAATACTTGCTAATTAGCTCTATATTGTTCATTGCGGACTTGTAAATTAACTCTATATTTTTCTTTCTTGGTTGCATCACAATCTCTACCACAGCAAACACCCTTATCTATGCCTCCAATTTCAACAGTTTGTCCTAACTGATATGGTTTCGTTAATCAAATGGCAAAAAATCACATTATCAATAACCTTGAGAAAACAAAATTGCTCTCATAGTTGTTTATCTCATCTACATCCCATCCAATGAGAAATTCACAAAAAGGAAAGAATAAGATTGAAGAAAAGAAAACAGAAAATCACCAGATGGCCAGCAGTTTAACATCAAGAAGAACAATTCACCAGTTCGTTCCAAAAAAAATGCACCTACAAATGTACAGCCCAAACAATACTCTAACACAATGGAGAACAGTCTATGCGCATCCAAGAGGCAGCAAGCAGCCAAGCAGGCTGAACAAATCTATCTTTCTGAATTTAAGCACACATAACACACATACACAATACAAAGAAACATGGAAATTTTATATCACAAATTCACATTACAAGTCAAGTAAGAGAAAAAAGAAACACCCTTTTTGTTGATTTTCAAGATTCAAGAAGGAAAAGGGAAAAACTTCAAATGTGTATAAATGCATACAAAGTTTGCTTCTTTAGCATTAACCATATTAGTCAATCTGAGAGGGAGGTAAAATCTACGCTAACTTATGAACTATTCCATAAGAAGTAAAGCAATATCTGTTTCCCATTTTGCATCAAAACCACAAAAAACTCACTGATCAGTTAAAATAGCTCCTACCTTCTGCATTAAAAATAATCATAAATCACATCATAACACAATGGTAGCAAAAATGTAACAAAAGATTTTAAAGAAACGTAACCTGGTTTTTGCAGGAATTGCAAATCACGCAGAAGGGTGTTGGCGAAATTAATCAAAGAATCCAAATTTCTCTGCTTTTTTCCCTTCTTCTCTTTTTTTCCTTCCCTGGATGAGTTGTTTGGTTCGCGGGACACTCAAACCGAATCGCGAAAAAGACGAAAAAAATCTAAAATCCCACACGGATTGGCGCTGCTTTATTAGTTTGGTCTGGGCTCTAATAAACCGAAGCAACGCCAGCTTTCGAAAGATCTATTTGGTTGGGCTTCCTCCTAGGCTCTAATAAATCAAGTTTCCACTTTTAATAATCCATTAATTTCTTGGGTTTTTTCTCTTGGTTAGCAAAATTTATCTTCACTTTACAGGTAATATTTTTTATTTTTTATCTTAATAGTTATAATTTTTTTTTATTTGTAGAGGTAATATTTTTCATTTTTTATCTTATTTTATTTATATATTATGTAATTTTAATTTAAAATATTTTATTTTTAATAAAAAACTACTATTAATTTACTTTTGCTGTTGATAATTATAAATTATTAAATGAAAGAATATATTAGATAGATAAGTGATATATATAATAAATTTTATAAAAATAGTTAAAAAATAATTTTTTATATAATTTATATATCGTTTAATATTTTTTTTTTACTTTAATTAAACTTATGATATTAAAATATTTATTTATTTACGTTATATAAAAATTTTATTAAAAAATTATATAAAAAACCCATATGCACATCGTTGCCTCATTTTCTAATAATTTTTTTATAAAATAAAATAATATTAAATTAATATTTATTCGAACAATATGTAAACTGAAATGCATCCCACTTGTTTTTAATAGTTTCTTTAAGTATGTTGTAAATAGATGGTACATTGGGCCTTTTAAATAGGTTGACTTGTTGCTGCATTTCTTTAACATCAAGAAGTTTCTCACATTTTTAACACGTGTTAATTACAATTTTAATTCCTCTACTTTAAATGGGTGATTTTTTTGTTCCTCATAAAAATTTAGGTTGCCCCTGTTAATGAATGATATATACATTCAACTTGCTTTTCAAAGATGAAATGATTAAATACATTTTAATTACTATACTTAACAAAAAATGTAAATTTTTTTTATCACTTTAAACAAATTCGTCATTTGCTTAATATACGCAGATTACAAAATTATTTTTTAAAATAGAAAGATATAATTTTTTTTTAAAGTAAAGGGGTAAAAGGGATTCATTGTCTAAATTTTTTTTGGGAGATTAAAGTACTCATTTTTCACCAAAAAATAATAAAAAAGTGATATAACTTAAATTGAATTAAATTAAATTATTAAATTAATAAAATAATTTAATTAATTATAATAAATTTTCCTTAACTCTTTTCAAAACAACCTGTCTATGAAAGCCAAAGGACTAAAAATATACACAGTACTTAAAAAAAACCTCTCAAAACTATAGTCCTTTATTAAAAAAAAAAATCTGGTAGAATAATAAGGTTAAATGTTAATTTTAGATTTTTACTTTTAAAATTTTCATAATTTTTGTCTTTTATTTTTTTATATATTTTTTTAGTTTCTTAATTATGAAAAAAATATTTTTTTAGTCGTTCTATCAGTCAATTTATTAAGTTTATCTAAATTTATATATTTTTAATTTTTTAATTTTAATTTAAGAGAAAAAATTATACATATATTAAAAATTAAAAGATTAAAAATATACAAATTTAAATAAACTTATTTTTATAATTAACAAAAAAATAAAAAAATATTTTTTATAATTAAAGAATGAAAAATATACATAAAATATTAAAAAATAAAAATTATATAAAATATTAAAATTGAGGGATCAAATATCTAATAGGCAGCATTTTATGTGCGTGGCGCAATAGCCACTTGTTGCCCTTTGAAGCAGGTCGTAATTTGTATTTCATATCCTGAGTTCAATGCTTTTTGTATACACTAACATTTCTAACTAATTAACATTTTTAATAATTGTCTTTCTCAAAAAAAAAAAATCTAGTAGGCATTTAATTATATAATATAATAAATAAATCTAAGCAAAGAGGTGGTTCCCACTTCCCACTCCAAGGGTGCGTGTTATACACGAGACCATCCAAACATGCCGTAGCCAAGAAAAATAAAATAAATAAAAACAGAAATAAAAGACCCTATTTTAGCTCCTAGAGCCAGAGCCTTCTTCTTCTTCTTCGACTCTCCATCTCAAACTACAACCTAATCATGGCGTCTCTTCTAGCCAACGGTATTTCAAGCTTTTCTCTGCAACCCACCACCGACTCAACCAAAACCCTAAAAGGGTCTCACCCTAAATTCGATTTCCTCAAGCCCATAAACCCCAGGAGCTCAAGTTCGAGGCTTGTCAAGGTACGAGCAGATGTCGGCACCGAACCCAAGACCGCCATCAGTGTCGATCCCAGCTCTGGTTCAGGTAAGTCCTATGACGAGAAAATTCAGGAAATTCTTCGTAACCGTGATTACGAGAAGAAGTTTGGTTTCACTATGGATATTGATTCGTATACGATCCCTAAGGGGCTTTCTAAAGAGACAATTCGTTTAATTTCTTCTTTGAAAGAGGAACCGGGTTGGATGCTGGATCTTAGGTTGAATGCTTATGAGAAATTCTTGAACATGAAGGAACCCAAATGGTCTGATAATATGTACCAACCGATTAATTTTCAGGATATTTGTTATTACTCTGCGCCTAAGAAGAAACCTGCCTTGAATAGTTTAGATGAGGCTGACCCAGAACTACTTAGGTACTTTGATAAATTGGGTGTTCCTTTGAATGAGCGTAATCGTCTAGCTAATGTTGCTGTGGATGCTGTTCTTGATAGTGTTTCAATTGCAACAACACATAGGAAGACATTAGAGAAGGCAGGTGTGATTTTTTGTTCCATATCGGAGGCAATTAGGGAGTACCCTGATTTGGTTAGGAAATACTTGGGGAGAGTTGTGCCTAGTGAGGATAACTATTATGCTTCTTTGAATTCAGCTGTTTTTAGTGATGGATCATTTTGTTATATACCTAAGAATACAAAGTGTCCAATGCCGATTTCAACTTACTTTCGGATAAATGCATTGGAAACTGGGCAGTTTGAGAGGACTCTGATAGTTGCTGATGAAGGTAGTTTTGTCGAGTATCTAGAGGGATGTACTGCACCTTCGTATGACAGGAATCAGCTTCATGCAGCTGTAGTTGAGTTGTATTGTGCTGAGGGTGCAGAGATTAAATACTCCACTGTGCAGAACTGGTATGCTGGCAATGAGGAAGGCAAAGGTGGGATTTACAATTTTGTTACAAAGAGGGGACTTTGTGCTGGAGCTCGCTCAAAAATATCATGGACCCAAGTAGAGACAGGGTCTGCAATTACTTGGAAGTACCCAAGTGTTGTTTTGGAGGGTGATGAAACAGTAGGTGAGTTCTATTCTGTTGCACTGACAAATAACTATCAGCAGGCAGATACAGGAACAAAAATGATTCATAAAGGGAAGAATACAAGAAGTAGGATTATCTCAAAGGGTATTTCAGTTGGGCATTCAAGAAATTGCTACAGGGGGCTTGTTCAGGTTCTATCAAAGGCAGAGAATGCTAGAAACTCCTCGCAATGTGATTCGATGCTTATTGGTGATAATGCTGCTGCCAACACTTACCCATATATCCAGGTACTTTATTCGTTCTTTTTCCATGTTGGATTTACCACTGGTGTATTTAGCCATATTTAGGAATGTTGATTATCTATTTATCCCTATACATTTCTCTTCCAGTGTGGAAAATATAATGGGTTAGCAAATATATTTCAGGGTGTTTTAGGAGAATATCATGTTATTAAAGGTAGTGAAGGAAGCTTTAGAAATTCTGACTTGAATGTTGGTGGAATGAGTATGGTTTAATGAGAACAACTTTCACAGAAAATTCTCATGATATTTTGGTCTAGAAGTTTATCTTTCTGTCAAACTTTGAACAAGATGAGGATTTAGATAATAGGTCCTTTTTTTGCATATAGGAATGCACCTTATTGTTGCATTTAAAAATGCCTGTATTGTTGCACGTAGGAATGCACCTTATCTCTTTGATTTAGGTGGTGTCTGTTTTCTATATGTTCTTGGTTGATTTCGTCTTGTCAAAGTTACAGTTCAAAAACGATAGGAAAATGTCTACTCATTAATAGAACAAGTGATGACTTGTTTTATCATGCTACCATTCCTCCTTGGTGGCACTATTGTAACATTTCACTAACTTGTTTGTGTTTGTTATGTCAAGAAATTAGGAGTTGCTCTTATGTTCTACTAACATGAAGACTTTTACTCATCAGGTTAAGAATCCCACAGCTCGTGTTGAACACGAAGCTAGCACCTCCAAAATTGGTGAAGACCAGCTATTTTACTTCCAGCAGAGGGGAATTGACTATGAGAAAGCCATGGCTGCAATGATTTCTGGGTTCTGCCGTGATGTGTTCAATGAACTTCCTGATGAGTTTGGTGCAGAGGTAAACCAGCTCATGAGCTTGAAGCTTGAGGGATCCGTGGGTTAAGCTGCAGTTGATGTTTGCTCATTTGTGGTCATCTTTGCTCACAGTATCTTTTTATCAGTGAGTTCAGTGGTGTTGTAGTTTGTGATGGTTATGTCACAGATGACTGTAGTTAGGTTTGGAATAAACTTTTGAAATACTGTATCTTTCTTTCACGAAAATAAACACCTCTCTGTATATTCATGTTTCCTGTACCAGATCAATGATGCAATGTAATGTTCTGCATGTTCACTGATAGCAGAATTTTGTAAGCGTTCATCTATATATCAATGTGAATTTAAAGCTATGGAATGGTAGGGTTATGCTTTTATTCTGCATCGACTTCCAATCATGCATAGGACTTGTACGTCTGTCTAGATCTTTTGTTATCCCAGTTTGAAGCGGGAACTAGATATAGGGTGCATGTGGTTGATAATGAATTTCTCTTCATCTGGATCTGTTGCAGTATTTCAAACAAACCTTGTAGGATTATGGAGATTTCATGTCAGCATCCTTAGTTGTTCATCCTGGGAACCCAATGTGCATGCGCAGCCGGTCTCATTGCTAATGTCAGTCATCTTATGGATATATCTCTATTTAAAATTTCAATTTTCCCCATCACTTGCAATTAAAGAATTCATCCAAAGTATATTCCATTTCATGGATGCTTGATCATGCTTCAGCC